ATTGCCCTTTTGTCATGTTCTGACTTGTGTATTGCCCTTTTGGCATGTTCTGACTTGTGTATTGCCCTTTTGTCATGTTCTGACTTGTGTATGTCCTTCTGTCTAATTTCAAATTGTGTATGTCCTTCTGTCTAGGTCTAACTTGTGTATTGCCCTTTTGTCATGTTCTGACTTCTGTATTGCCCCTTTGGCATGTTCTGACTTGTGTTTGTCCTTCTCTATAATTCTGACTTGTGTATTGCCATTTCGTCAAGATCTGACTTGTGTATTGCCCTTTTGTCATGTTCTGACTTTTGTTTTGCCATTTTGTCATGTTCTGACTTGTGTATTGCCCTTTTGTCATGTCCTGACTTGTGTATTGTCCTTTTGTCATGTTCTGACTTGTGTATTGCCCTTTTGTCATGTTCTGACTTGTGTATTACCCTTTTGTGATGTTCTGACTTGTGTATTGACCTTTTTTGTCAAGATCTGACTCTTGTATTGACCTTTCGTCACATTCTGACTTGTGTATTACCCTTTTGTCATCTTCTGATTTGTGAATTGCCCTTCTGTCAAGTTCTGACTCATATATTGTCCTTCTGATTAGTTCTAACTCGTGTATTGTCCTTTTGTCGTGATCTGACTTGTGTATGTCCTTACTGTCTAGTTTTAACTTATGTATTGTCCTTTTGTCATGATCTGACTTGTGTATTTCCCTGTTGTCAAGATCTGACTTGTGTATTGCCCTTTTGTCATGTTCTAACTTGTGTATTGTCCTTTTGTCTAGTTCTTACTTGTTTACTGTCCTTTTGTCTAGTTCTGACTTGTGTTTTTTCTTTTTGTGTTGTTCTAACTTGGTAATTTTTCTTTTGTCTAGTTTTAATTGTGTATTGCCCTCTTGTCTAGTTCTGACTTGTGAATTGTCCTTTTGTCTAATTCTGATTGGTGTTTTGTCCTTTTGTCTCATTCTGATTGGAGTTTTGTCCTTTTTGTCTAATTCTGATTTGTGTTTTGTGTATTGAGATTTTGTCTAGTTCTGACTTGTGTTTTGCTCTTTTAGTATAGTTCAGACCTGTCTATTGTCCTTTTGACTAGTTTTGGCTTGTGTTTTGTCATTTTTTCTAATCATGCCTTATGAAGTATTCTTTTGTCAAGTTCTCTCTTTTTTATTTCTGTGTATTGTCATTTTGTCTCGTGTCTATGACAACTTAGCATCCTGTTGTGTAACAGTGTTTTACAAAGCTGGTGTAATATTCATCAGGATGTTTGTTCATTTCATTCAAAATAACGTTGTGGCCCATCCTATTTAATTGTCTCCCCTGCATGACAGTGTTAATTAGTCTTATCATTAGAATCGGGAACTTATTTATCTCACATCACACATATATATATATACCACAGATGATCAATAAACTTGGTGTAATATGACACACAACATTTAAACAGGAGTCTACACCTAGCCATCAGTGACAATCTCGGTGTATACTCAGTGATTGGAGAAGTACATCACCGGGTATTAATGAATCCTGCTAATTAGCTTTGAGAGCACTTGTGGCTGGCAGTAGGTTTACTCATTAATATATGTATAACGCTGTCTCTGTGTTTTGTTATCAATGTGTTGTGCCAGTGATGTATATGGTTTTGTTGTTTTGTTAACAGACTTGGTGACACACAGCTATTCATACAGATACACACAGATGTTCACACAGGTAAGACTAAGACAAATCAGCATACTCTATTAATGTACAAACAGTAATAATCTCAATGTCAAAGACATTTATTACCTGTGTCAGCATCTTGGGTAATCAGTTTGTTTTGTAAATGCTGGGACTGAGAGGATACTTTATATGTTTTTGTATTAAGAGCAGTAGATTTAAGTGTTGGGAGCTGAGGGTAGTGTATAATGTAAGTGTTGAGAGTTGAGGGTAGTGTATTATGTAAGTGTTGAAAGTTGATGGTGGTGTATTATGTAAGTGTTGGGAGTTGAGGGTAGTGTATTATATCAGTGTTGAGAGTTGAGGCTAGTGTATTATGTCAGTGTTGAGAGTCGATGGTGGTGTATTATGTAAGTGTTGGTGGGAGTTGATGGTGGTGTATTATGTAAGTGTTGAGAGTTGATGGCAGTATATTATGTAAGTGTTGGGAGTTGAGGGTAGTGTATTAGATCAGTGTTGAGAGTTGAGGGTAGTGTATTATGTCAGTGTTGAGAGTTGATGGTGGTGTATTATGTAAGTGTTGAGAGTTGAGGGTAGTGTATTATGTAAGTGTTGAGAGTTGATGGTGGTGTATTATGTAAGTGTTGAGAGTTGAGGGTAGTGTATTATGTAAGAGCTCAGAGTTGAGGGTAGTGTATTATGTCAGTGTTGAGAGTTGAGGGTAGTGTATTAGATCAGTGTTGAGAGTTGAGGGTAGTGTAATATGTCAGTGTTGAGAGTTGAGGGTAGTGTATTATGTCAGTGTTGAGAGTTGAGGGTAGTGTATTAGATCAGTGTTGAGAGTTGAGGGTAGTGTAATATGTCAGTGTTGAGAGTTGAGGGTAGTGTATTATGTCAGTGTTGAGAGTTGAGGGTAGTGTATTAGATCAGTGTTGAGAGTTGAGGGTAGTGTAATATGTCAGTGTTGAGAGTTGAGGGTAGTGTATTATGTCAGTGTTGAGAGTTGAGGGTAGTGTATTAGATCAGTGTTGAGAGTTGAGGGTAGTGTATTATGTCAGTATTGAGAGTTGAGGGTAGTGTATTACGTCAGTGTTGACAGTTGAGGGTAGTGTATTATGTCAGTGTTGAGAGTTGAGGGTAGTGTAATATGTAAGTGTTGAGAGTTGAGGGTAGTGTATTATGTCAGTGTTGGGAGTTGAGGGTAGTGTATTAGATCAGTGTTGAGAGTTGATGGTAGTGTATTATGTAAGTGTTGAGAGTTGAGGGTAGTGTATTATGTTAGTGTTGAGAGTTGAGGGTAGTGTATTATGCCAGTGTTGAGAGTTGATGGTGGTGTATTATGTAAGTGTTGAGAGTTGAGGGTAGTGTATTAGATCAGTGTTGAGAGTTGAGGGCAGTGTATTATATCAGTGTTGAGAGTTGAGGGGAGTGTATTATGTAAGAACTCAGAGTTGAGTGTAGTGTATTAGATCAGTGTTAAGAGTTGAGGGTAGTGTATTATGTCAGTGTTGGGAGTTGAGGGGAGTGTATTAGATCAGTGTTGAGAGTTGTGGGAAGTGTATTATGTCAGTATTGAGAGTTGAGGGTAGTGTATTACATCAGTGTTGAGAGGTGAGGGTAGTGTATTATGTCAGTGTTGAGAGTTGATGGTGGTGTATTATGTAAGTGTTGAGAGTTGATGGTGGTGTATTATGTAAGTGTTGAGAGTTCAGGGTAGTGTATTATGTAAGAGCTCAGAGTTGAGGGGAGTGTATTATGTCAGTGTTGAGAGTTGAGGGTGGTGTATTATATCAGTGTTGAGAGTTGAGGGTAGTGTATTATGTAAGAACTCAGAATTGAGAGTAGTGTATTATGTCAGTGTTGAGAGTTGAGGGTAGTGTATTATATCAGTGTTGAGAGTTGAGGGTAGTGTATTATGTAAGAACTCAGAGTTGAGTGTAGTGTATTAGATCAGTGTTGAGAGTTGAGGGTAGTGTATTATGTCAGTATTGAGAGTTGAGGGTAGTGTATTACGTCAGTGTTGACAGTTGAGGGTAGTGTATTATGTCAGTGTTGAGAGTTGAGGGTAGTGCCATAGTATAAGTTAGCCACTAGATGGCATATTCTTGTTTTTTAGTTAATGATATTTCATGTTTTTACACTTTTAAGTTAATATTTGTGTGTACTTTTTGATATCCAGGATATATGACTGTGTCCTTTTATAAAGTGTCAATTAGAATTGTCCTTGCACCACATCAGAAATGGGAACTGTTGATGCTTTGTTTAAATTTGTATCCAGCTTGATCAAGTTATATTTTGCATCTGAATGTATAATATAATATATAATATAATATATAATATATAATATATAATATAATATATAATATAATATATAATATTATATATAATATAATATATGCTTAAACTTTTTGAGCAAAAATTATAATTATAACATTATATTGGCAATCACATCTTGTGGAACAAAATGGTGTCCCGTGTTGCTGTATTGAGAGATGTCAATTGTTAAGGGAAAACTTATGATTTCTTCAAAAACAATATGAGACCCATGAAGAGACAGAGATTGCAGGTGTCTTGTTGACTTTTATTTCTCACTCGACCTTAACATTCGACCTTAACGTTCGACCTTAACATTGGACCTTAACATTCGACCTTAACACTCGACCTTAACATTCAGGACATTGTCTGCAGTTTGGCACGCTTATAATGACATTCAGCTTAGCTATCAAATATTATCTACTCATCTCTCTACACAGTGCTGGGAAATAACAATCATTGTTTTAACAGTTTGTCTTATTTGTGGAGCAGTATTCCTTTTTTACAACTATTTTGACATTAAACATTATCAGTTTATTGAAATTTCAAAAGTTATGGCAGGTGTTAAATGTTTATCAATCTTTTAAATATTTGCAACATCTATGTGTTCAATGAACATTAATTTAATTGGTTGTTAACATCAGAATTGACTTTTCTGTAAAAATAAAAAGGGACATAGTAATCTAGGGTCACGTTTCACGACAACACTGTATGACATTATGTGGAGGGAATCCACAAGACGTTAATTAATATTTGATATTGTTTTTATACCAGTCTTTAACATCCCTCATTGTACAGTGTACTCCGTCTGTAACACCTTACAAGTCCATGATAAACAGCTAACACCCCAGCTTAATATCGGAATAAAATACAACATATTTGGCATTTGATTGATTACAGGTTTAGTGGTGATATTAATTCTGCAGTATTTACGCCATTCCCTGCACACTTTGTAGCCCCTCCAGATGTTGTACAATATTAGAAATTAAAAACACCATAAAAATGTGTTTTGAGTTATTCAACAGTTTGCTGACATTTAAACAGTGAGGTTTTGTGTATAGCCAAATTTAGACCCAAGCTGCTGTCTTGAATTATTTCTTCTTAACATTTTATTGCGCTAATTAAGTTGTATGGTGATATCAATGGTTAGCATGAGTCAGTGGCCCAGCCCTCAATCTGCTACACCAGCTTATAGGGACCCAACATTATTGTTACTCATGTCTTAAATCTGTTTTGAAGTACAGAAATAGTTGAAAGACAAGGAGAAATAAATGAGATTATGTTTGTTTCACCAACTGTTACCATGCAGGCAAAACACAGCTTTAGAAACATAACATTTCTTCTGGACTCGCTACAATGTAGCTTAGTCTATCTCATTAGCTGTTGCAATGACCAATCCTTCACCAAATATGGTGCTATTATGTACCGATGTTGAGCGTATTGTCCACTAATATTTTGTATATTACCGAGGACGACACAGGACAACATTACAAACTTTTAGTCAGTAAATAACGGTTAAAATTTTTACGACCAATGTATGTACAGAAAAACAGTAGACACCTTTATAGACCAACATTACACTGATAATAAACATTTAATTTATAACTTTATAAACGTTTGTTAAGAGTACCGGTCTGTAAGGGCCATACTAAGGTATCAGGTCATCAAAAGAGAGTACCTGCATCCAACCTGTGTTTAAGGACAGAAGACAGGGTTACACATAGGGCAACTGTGAAAGAGCATGCCAGCGTGGACTAAAATTGAACTTAAAAATTAAATCAAAAACTAAAATTGAATTTAAAAATTATACCAATGCTTATGACACTTTGTTTATTTCCATTTTAGAAAGGAAAATGTTGATGCCTTTACAATACAGACATTAAGAGCATATCTGTCCCAAAACACAAACTTTGTTACCAAGGTGTAAAGGATCTATTTTAAGTGATATATATTAAAACTGAGGACATATTCTGTAAGAGATTAAAACATTTAATTGATCAATATATTTTTCAACTAACTGAGACCTTAGTATACTGGGACATTTTTGCTGCGATTTAATTTTCAAAAGTTTGACTGGGTAAAAATAATCATGGTTTACAGTATATTCCCAAATCTACAATACTAAAAAAGATGTTTATTATAAAAAAATGGTGTGAAAATGAAAGAATACAATGCCAAAATTATTTCAAATAGTTTGCCAATCAGATCACAGTTTACAAAAAAAAATCTGTCTTTTCATATAGTTTCAGCCAATCAGAAATTGCGACACAATCCCTTCCATAATCTGGCCTGCTGAGTGTAAAAGGGGATTGAGGGAGGGGGACCTTGAGATAAGACAATGTGTGGGACCACCCCTATGAGAGGTACCCTGAGTGTCTGACAGACATGTGTGTTATAGGGGGCTGTACCCTGTCTGTCCCCCTCATTAGACATTGAACAGCCTTGATCTCTGATGACTGTAAAACTTGAGATAAGTTATGATAGCGGATAAGGGTTAATCTAATGAGGTCTAGGTATTCACAAACACATTGTTTTTATTTATAGATTATAACAATGCTGTTTGTAGTTTTTATGTCCCATGTGCACAGCTATTTTCTGTTACCTAGAATATTATTATTGAACATTCCACAAGTTTGTAGAATACAAAACATGCAATTGTTTTTCTTCAAATATTTGAACACGCCATGAATGAAAAATTGATTTGGATTTTTCTTACAAGAAGCAACATGTTAGAATTTTAA